CTCTTCAGTTAAGTATCAATTTTCTTTCTTTCTTATCATGGGATTCATCTCCAGAACAACATCATTCTGGGAGGATTTTTCCTGACTATTTCACCATGTTGCCAATCAATAATGAAGTAGCAAAAAAAAACAAAAAAAAAAAAACACCACAAAATAATAATAATATAGTAATAGTATTTTCTGGAGTACTGTTTTGTAATTCCCTGATCAGGACATATGTTGAGCTGAATATTCTCTTTCTAGTGATGTTGTGGAGCAAAAGCATTGCTGTGTTCCCAAGGGAAACTCATATTTTTACAGACATTCTTGCATTAACCTTGCCAGGTGAAACTTCTATCAAGGATAAAGGTTTTTTAGTCACAAGGAGGAGATCAGCTGTCTCTAGCAGTGAGACAGGGCCTCTCTAAGGGGGTGTAAAGAGTGTATAAAGGGTGGGCAGGGCCATTCCCAGGATTACTTTTGATTGAGAGACAAGAGTGCCAGTCAGCCTTATGTCCATCCTCAGAGGAAATTGCAATATAAGAACCTCAGTGTTTTAGGGCCAATGGGGCAACCATCACTTTTTCACTGAGTTTTTAAAACTTTATTAGAGACAATTCTCTTCCCCGCACCTCATCCCTACCCCCACATACAAACAGTCAACTTTTTCAAGAAGTTCACACAGGCAATAGACTCATGATCCAGATCTTTCACTCACTCTCCTTCTCTGGTCCTCTTCATCTTAGACCATGCACAATAACTCCCAAAGTCAGGGAATCCCACACGTTGCCCATCATTAACGTTATGGGCTACTGCTTTTAATCTAGGCAGCCTGTGAAAGTAGCTTGACTGCTTTGTACAGCCTTCAGGTGGGGTGGGGGGACTTGGGATGGGAGGTTACAATGTGGTGGATTGCTAAATTAGATCCACCTTGAGCCTTCAGCTGAATGAATAAAATTTCATAATTAGCAAGACACCTGTCCTGCCTCTAAATGAAACTAAAACCTTCCTCCCACATTATCCCTTTATACATCACCGTCTACATATAGGGGAGGACCATCTAGCTAGGCCTACCCTGTTGGCCTATATTGCTGCAGTTGCACCTTTGCACAGATTGTGCAAGGGTTTCAATGAAATGGAAAAGATCCATCAGGATAGGTAACCTGTCACACTCTTAAGTGTTGCTAAAGTACAATTTTCAGCATCTCCTACCACTGGCCACACTTGCCAGCAACACCTAGAAGAACACAGGATGTGTTCCCTGGCCTACATGATTTTGGTTGCCTCCATTTTGGCTTGCCTTTGCAAATGCTAGGGAAAGTGTTTAAATAATGAAGTGAATGCTTTCTCATGGTAGGACCATGGATACAGTCCTCTTCTCCTTTATATTTAGAACCTATGAATAAATAATGTGTAAAGAGGTCTCTCAACAATCCCTGATTTCCTAAGCAGAGAAGAGAGATCATCATTAGATTACTGGCAGGAAACTTTCAACATCTGTGGGCCCTGAGCAACTGCCCATCACTGCCAGTTTCTGGTGCCAGCTGTACTCAAAACCACCATATAACATTCCTCATGATTGTTGCCTCTGGCACAGAAAAAAACAAAACAGCTCAGCAATTTATACTTTCTACAGAGCAATTACAAATATTAATTTAGAAATTCATTGACTAAACATATGTCCTCAGTTACAGAGATAGGTAGATGCATAAATGTGTATGTATCTCTTGAGTGGGAACTACACTAAAACATGTGTTTCATCCACCTTGTGATCTCCAGATCAGTTGAGATCAAAGGACATTTAGAGCTATCAAATCTGGATTGAAAAAAACACCCCAAAAAGCCCCTAGATGACAGCAAAGAGTTTTTATATTTTTTTGCTTCCCTCTAGAGGTCATCCTGAGTTTTACAGCCCAGGTCTGGTAGCCTCATCATCATCTCCAGTCAGCAAGGAATACAAGATTTTAGTTATTGATTTCAGTAGTTTTACTCTAAGCATAACTGATGCTGCAATCTTATACCTATTTATTCTGAATAGGTATATGCTGCACTCAAAGGAGCTTACTCACTGAGCAAATATACACAGAATTGCACTAAAAGCTTGGGTCCAACCTCCTATTTTTGAAAATTGGGTATCTTATAATCATCTTTAAAGGACTTCCCTCTTATATATTAGGAAGATCTTTTGTAGGTCATGCCACAGGCATGCATATTTCATTCATAAGAATAACAGTCTGGATTAACCCTGGAACTAATCATAACTAATAGCTTTGGTGGTTGGATAGAAAGCATACATTTGTTGTCTGGTCAGAAATGCTATGCAGGCAATTGCTTACTGAGTGGAATTCCTGCTTTGAACTAGCAAGGCTGGTTCCCAGATACATGGATGTCACTTACTTTCCCATCTTTTAGTTATTCAACTCTTAATGTCTCCATTAACTAGCCTCTGATAAACATTGTCTTTGAAGGTATGAGAAGAGTCATTAGGTTCTAACTGGGTCTTTGATGTTTGACTCACTCTACCATGTAGCAAAACAGCCTTTTTAATTCATTTCCCTCAAGTGCTCAGATGAATAACGAGGCTCACATCCTCAAAAATCCCTGCATTTGACCAGATACAGTACATAAGAGGGTCTCTTAAGGTACTTAGAACTCTTGCACACTTGAAGACTTATTCATACTTTCAACCAAATGCATGAACATTAGGGCACAGTTGGCAATTCCTCCTGAATGTGATTGAATGTGAAGAAAACAATTGCAAAGAGGGAGCTAAAAGGGTACAGAAAACTCTTGCTCTTTGTACCATCTAATGATCATTCAGATTTTTGCAGCCCAGATCTGCAGCCCAACTAATGAGGTGGTA